TGAATTTTTTTTAAAGATTTTATTTATTTATTTGAGCTAGAGAGAGAGAGCAAGCACAAGTTGAGGGGGGCAGAGGGGGAGGGAGAAGCAGACTCCCCGCTGAGCAGGGAGCCTGACGCGGGACTCGATCCCAGGACCCCGGGATCATGACCCAAGCCACCCTGGCGCCCCTCGAGTATGTGAATTATGTCTTAAAAAAGCTTTTCTGGAAAAGCAGCCACTCATCCTCACAGTGTAACATTTTCATCTTTTTTTCTAACTGCCTGTTTCTCCAGAGTTAATGGCATTTGTGAAAGAGGAAAAAGCGCTGTCAATTATCTTTACTTACCCAAGAGCCTCCAGAAGAGCTCATATTGTTGCTATTTTAATTGCTTTGTGTGTAATTTCTGTATAGAACTAGAGTCCCTTGGGAAAGGCGGCATAACTATTCATTTGAAACCTTTCATTCTTGATGCATCATTTGTACCTGGGCGTATTGGTCGTCTTGTTCCCCGAGATGGGACTGCACAGCTCACGTGCCGCTGCATTGGCTCATAGCCGTCCAAGTCCTGAGAGAGGGACTGAGAATAAGATGAAGGTCATGAGCAAACACCGAGGAATGTGCTGCCAGCCCTTGAAAGTTGTATGAGAAGTTGTACATTACCATTTGGAAGTTCTCTTCAATATAGAGGGAGCAGAGGCATGAGAAATGCAAACCATAACACTGGGCAAAGAGAATAAATCCAGATGTTGGCTGAGCTCCCCAGGGAAATGGGTGGGTGGCTGGGGAAAGGCTGAGGATCAGCCCCTGGGGAAGCAGTGGATGGACTGAGGGAGGGTTTTGCAAAGAAGTATGGACACTAGTTGGAGACTTGGAATAAGCCACGCAGTACGATGGCATGGATGTTTCCATGTTAGGATGGCTTGTTTTCGGTAGAGTAGAATGCTGTAGGTTTGAAGAGAGCTTGGCTAATCTGCCTTTGGAAAGAGGAAGAAAATGATTTTTTTTCAACTATGAATACAACACAGTCCTGCCGTCCTATTGAATGGGTGTCTTTTTAGATGATTTCTGCAGTTAAAGCATTATTAAGTACTGTAGAAAAGAAACCACTAAAAGATTTCTCTTATAGGCTTGTCAAAACAGTGGGACAAGAAGGATGCCAAGGAATTCATATGAGTTGGGCAGACTTGTTCCTAAACCAGTCTAGAACATATCTGTTTATTTTCAAGATGATTAAAAAAATATTTGGCAGCTTTCCTCAGGGGCCTGTGGTGCTCTTTAATAACACCCACTTCCTTTTGTTTAACTAAAAGTACAGAGAGCCAACACTCTCCAACACGCCAATCAGTAAATGTTACTTGCTTCCTCTAAACTTGGTTTATTTTATAGGACCAACAATAAAGAATGATGTAGGAGCCGTAAACTGTCACTTCCTGGCAATAGTCTCCTGTTATTAGGAACATCGGTACATTGAGGATGTGGTTTCTCAAAGGGGTTTAAGTATTTGGGGCACAGTTCCAGGGACATTATGTTTTACTGGACTTCAACTCAGAGACATTGTGCTTTAGAGATTAAAGGCCATTTTGGAAGGGTTGGAAGGCTCCAGAGTACAGGTACAAAATGAACTTGACCTTTACTCAAGATTTTTTTCCTTTTATTTTCCAAGAGCAGTAGCCATTTGGAGACATTGAGAAAGTACTGACGCCTTTGTGAGAAAACTGTACGATCACATTTACAAGCTTAAGAAGGTCCATTTGGCAGGCTCTTCTCACTCCATCAGGCGACAGCTCCAGGCCCTGCCACCGCACTGCTTTAGGGATTCACACGCACAAAAAGTTGTCTTGAGTTGTCTAGTTTAGAAGCAGGCCATGGAGGAAATAAGCCTTCCAGGGGTTTCTGAGAAAGGAAGAGGTGACATGTAGGTGCCTGTTCCCACATATATGCATTTCTTTAGCAGACTTAGGTTTTCTTTTCTTTTCTTTTTTTAAGATTTATTTATTCAGGGGTGCCTGGGTGGCTCAGTTGTTAAGCGTCTGCCTTCAGCTCAGGTCATGATCCCAGGGTCCTGGTGTCGAGCCCCGCATCGGGCTCCCTGCTCAGTGGGAAGCCTTCTTCTCCGCCTCCCATTCCCCCTGCTTGTATTCCCTCTCTCGCTGTGTCTTTCTCTGTCAAATAAAAAAATATAATCTTTTTTAAAAAAAGATTATATTTATTCATTTTAGAGAGAGAGAGAGAGAGAGCATGAGTGGGAGGGGCAGAGGGAGAGAGAGAATCTCAAGCAGAGCGGAGTGCGACACAGGGATTCGATCCCACAACACTGAGATCACGACCTGAGCCGAAACCAAGAGTCAGACGCTTAACCGACTGCGCCACCCAGGGGCCCCAGATTTAGGTTCTATGGAATAAAAGCAGAGAAGCCAGACATGAAGAGTGAAACTGATTAATGAAATCCCTTCATCAACTTGGTGCCTCTGTCAACAGTATAAAAATTAATGTTATAGTCAGCCTTTATGATCTTTTTTTAGAATTCCCATGGCTCCTGTTTCTAAAAAGACTGCCGGGCTGGACTCTTCTCTCTCCTTGGATTCTTTACTTCTTTTGCCACCTCTTTGTTTTTCAAGGCTCAGATCATGGGGTCTTTAGGCCATGTGTGAAATGAGACTCTGGTGGGCATCATCCTGAGAAGAACTTTATTAGGAGTGTGGGACACATTTTGTTGAATTATACTTATGATACTTTTCTTAATGTCCCCAGATGATTGAGCATGTTTGTTTTTATTAAAAAAAATATTTCTTTTCAAAGCAAAGATCAGTTCTGTATGATACTATTCCTTGAGTATAAATACATCTTACAGAGGAAAATATAGATTTTCCCTGATTTCAATTAAGGGAGGAACTGTAATGAGAACCCGCTGTTCTGAAGGCTGCCCATGAGCTGTTAACCCGTCGGCCTCCTCTCTGTAGCTAACATAGCATTCTGGGTAAAATGTCTGCCCATTTTTCTCCAGACGTGCTTCCTCATTTCCCAGGGTTGATGCTGTTTCCTCAAACAGAGCTTCTTCATCTCCATTTTTACTCCTTAGAAACATAAAAGATGGTGTGGAAGATTTCTAGTTTCACCTTTCCAAACTCTCCTTCATCCAGTTGGGAAGGTTAAGATGTCTCTAGACCAAACCTATCTCCACATTCTATCAACCCTATAGGAAGGCCAGAAAGCTTAATGTTTATGAACAAAGGCTTTGGGAACAGGAAATTTCCGTCCTACTATTTTCCAGCTAATATCCCTGGGCTTTAGTTTCCTCATTTATAAGATGGAAATATTAATAGTGCTTGCCTCTACAGGGTTGGAGCGAGATAATACATATGAAGAGCTTAGCCAGGGCCAGGCATGGAGAGAGATCTCAATAAATGTTAGTAATAATGGTCGTGATACCACGGTGGTGGTGGTGATGATAAAGGTTTGGAGTCTCAGAGAGTCGTATTGCAGCATTACAACATGGCATTTTTCAGATAAGAAATCAGATCACATAATCTGCCAAGGTTATTTGAATTTGCTACTGTGGCAGGCAAAATTACTTGTCACTTAATGGCTGCTATGTATCGTTACTCAGTTGAAGAGTGCGTGTGTGCACATGAATGCAAATGCTGTTAGGTCTTGTGTCCCTGTCTTGATGGTCAGGAGTTTTGCTTTAGCTCCCCTCCCCCACTTTTTTAATTCGACACAGGGCTTAATACTGTGCAGTACACACAGTAAGCTTAATGCAAATACTGAGAGTATGTTTTTATTTGATAAAAAAAAATCTCATGCAAAATTGAATTAATAGACGATATTTTCATCTTATGAATATTTTATTTTTAAGGGAACTAAAAACCTTAGAAAATACCTAGACCTGGTCTCTCTTTCCAAGGATTCGCTCTTACCTCACCCCGGTGTTTTCATAGCACAGGGCTTGTCACACAATGGGAATGAAGTCAATGGTGGCAAATAATTAGCTGTCTTTATGTTAGAGGTCTCTTTACCAAAGCAATAGAAAGCCAACTCCGGCTAACAAGAGGGGATTTAGTGAAAGGATATCAAAGGGCCCACAGAATCAACGGGAGGCTGGAGGGCCACATTTAGGAATAGGCAGAGATCAGGGGAGCTCTAGCAAGTTAGGGAGCTCTGGCAAGCTCTGGCAAGTTAGGAGCCATGGGGAAGGAGAACCCAGAGTTAGCTTTCTTCTCTTGTTGGGTGACTCATTCCAGGGTCAGAGAGTGTGTGTCATTGGCCAAGCTTAGCTGACAGCCTCACAGCCTGGCTGCACCAGAAGCCAGAGAGGGTGGAGAAAGGATCTAGCCCATTGCCTGCTATAATGGGAGATGATACCCAGGACCATCCTCCCTACACATCTATCCACAGAGGAGGAGAGGCAGTTTCCCAAAAAGGAACCAGGATAATATTGGGAAAGGAACATGGATGCTGGGCAACCAAAAAAATGTCAAATGCCCATTATTCTGTTTCTCATATTTTGATTCTTGACTTCAGGCATGGTCGGTAATCGAACCACTCTTTATTTAGCCTGTGTGAACCCTAAAACTCAGCCTGAGATATTCTGCTCTGTTGCTCCAGTCTTCTGTGTGGTCCAAGGACAGTCTTCCATGTCATCATCCTGTTCTCATCTGAGTGGGAGCATCCCTCCAAAGAGATTAGCTAGGAGCTCAAGGGTTGAGAATATTGTGGTATCAGCATTAGATATTAGGACGAGCTACCTTTATTTATTTTCTCTATATAAGTAGGAGTAAGTTCACAGCTATTATTTCCAGTAGGTTAAAAACAGGGAGCACAACACCAAGGGAATTTTGCTAATCTAATTGAAATTTGTGGCCTGTATAGGTAAAATGTATTTACTTCCCATCAAAGGTGATGCTTTTGCAACAGGAGAGGATACTCTTAGCTTGCAAATGGCTCTTATGTTGGCTGGGTTTTGTTTTTTAGAATGCCATCCTAATTTAAGGTATTATCCTTTGCTTTTATGTTGTAGGGGAGAACTTATCCATTTCGGGGGGCCTTTCCGCCGGTATGGAATCCCATTGCCTATTTGGATTACAACAATTTGTGGCGGACAATGGATAACATGGGGAAGGAGGTAAAGTGTGTGTTCAGCTTACACATGACCTGTTACTAACGTAACAATAGCAACCGTTTAATATCCTTCCAATAGTGCAGAGGACATTGCTCTGGACATTCATACCTATCATTTCCAATACACCTAACTACTCTGCCAAGTTGGTAGTATTTCCACTTGCAAGGAAAATGAGTGCCCGAGGGGTTATGGTAATTTCCCCAACACCACACAGCAAGGGAACCAGGAGTCAAACCCACATCTCTCTGATTGTAATGTCTGTGGGCTTTCAACTCTATGGCACTGAGAATTTGTGTGACATATTTTCGCCAGGTATCCTACTCATAGTTGCCTTATCCATGTGTGATGCCACTTTGGATAGTAAAGGAAAGAGGGATTTATCCCCCCCAAGGTTTTTTACCTAGGCCCAGGCTCCATAAGATCACTCTCTCACACTTAAATTGGGGACTTAAAATGGGCGTTGGCTTTCAATAATAAGGATCATCATCATAATTACATATTAATTTATATATATTTATATGTAATTCCCCCCCTTTTTGCATCATCGTCATCATCATCATTATTATGGCAACAGCTTTAAGGCATAGAATACAGAGATCTATGCATCCCAACCCCACCACTATCTATATTAGAATTCTATGTCAATCACACATTCCAACACAGACCCAGAGACTGGTATTCAGAGGTTCTCCTGAAGGCCTGTTGGCAGAGCAGTGGGCAGTAACCATCACACCTGAATGTGGGCCCTTCTTCCTCTGCAGATTCCAGCGGATGCACCATGGGAGGCCCCACATGCTGAGGAATGGGACAAGATGACCATGAAAGATCTCATCGATAAAATCTGCTGGACGAAGTAATCTTGACTATTTAAAATTTACTTTTCATCTTTCCTTTGGATCCTTTCTGTCCTATCTTGAACTGTAGTATTTTTCTTTCTTTTTTTTTAAAGATTTTTATTTTTTAAGTAATCTCTACACCCAACATGGGGCTTGAACTCACAACCTCAGGATCAAGAGTTGCGTACTCCACTGACTGAGCCAGCCAGGCCCCCCTGCAGTGTTTTTCTTAATAAGTTATAGGAAAAAAGTTAAGAGGAAACCTAATGATCTTTCAGTCAGTGGCAACTTTGAAGGAACTTTAAACACTTCAGAGTGAGTTTGAACATAAAATGAATCTAAAACATAAAAACAAAGAGGAGGTGAATGAAGTAGAATGTTTTTAATGAAAGGGCTCTGTGATTTGCAATAAAATAAGTAATTGTGTATTCAAATTATATAGCAGTCAGCTACAGAAGCAATTTGGAAAGATATTAAAGTAATTCCATACAGATGTAGAAAAACATGGAACCAAAAGCAAGCTAGTCTATATTAATGAAAAATATAAATTTTATAGTATTTTCGATGAGAACCTGTGTAATGAGTTGAGTTACTTACAGGTTGTTTAGTCAGCTTTCTGGGGCTGCTGTGTGAAGGCACTGTAGCCGTCGGTGAGGAATTGTGGTGAATGTGTTAGGCATGGCCCCTAAACTCGTGGAGTTAGTATTCTTCTAGCAGGAGAGACTGACATTATGCACATAATTCCATAATGCTACTAGAGTGACTGTAACAGGGATCTTGACCTAAGGGTAAGGAAGAGATTCCCGGATGCAGCCATCTTTAAACATAAACCAAAGACTTAGTGCACCAACTAAAAATGAGTCACAGAGGATGGGAGGAGATAGGAAAGGGTGGATGGTGTGGGGGACAAGGTATCTTCCAGGAATGCCACAAAGTGGATGAGGGAGAGAGAGAGGAAAAGATGGATGGTGTGGAAGGAAGTGTCTTCCAGAAATGAGCCATAGTATTTGGGGATAGACAAGAAGGGAGGATGATGTGGGAATATGAAATCTACAAGGAATGTGCCACAGTGGATGGGGGGAGACCAGATGGATGGATAGTATGGAGATGACATGTTCCAAGAGTGAGCCATAGCAGATGGGGAGAGACAGAAAGGGTGAGCGGTGTGGGGGAATGGTATCTTCAAGGAATGAGCCACAGTGGAAGGGTGGAGAAATGAAAGTTGGATGGTGTATGCAGATGGTATCGTCCATGAATGAGCCACAGTGTATGCCAGTAGATAGATAAAAAGGCTGGATGGTGTGGGGGGAAGGTATCTTCCAAGAATGACCCAGTTGATGGGGGAGAGAGTAAGAATGAAATATGTGAGGGGTTGCTATCTTCTAGGTATGAAACACGGTGGACTGGGGGAGACAAAAATGGATGTTTGGTGGGATGGTATCTGTTGATGATGTGGGAGAATGATATCTTCCAGGAATGAGCCACTGTGGATGGGGGAGACAGGAAAGCTGGATGGTATGTTCCAGGAATGAGGCGCAATGGATGGTGTGTAGGAATGGTATTTTCCAGGAATGAGCAATTTGATGGGGGAGACAAGAAGAGTGGAATGTGTGACCGGATGGTATCTTCCAGGAATGAGCCACTTGGATGGGGGAGTGGGAGATAGGAAAGCTGGATCTTGTGGGGTGATGGTATCTTCCAGGAAGGAGCCAAATGGATGGGGACAAGCAAAGAGAGTATGGTGTGGGAGGATGGTATCTCCCAAGAATGAACCATAGTGGATGGGGGAAATAGGAAGGCTGGATGGTGTGAGGCTATGGTAACTTCCAGGAATGAGCCACATGGATGGGGGGAGAAAGGAAGGATGGATGGTATGGGTAGATTTAATCTTCTAGGAATGAGTGACATGGATGGGGGCAGGGGGGGATGAAAGGAAGATTGTGTGTGGTGATGGTATCTTCCAGGAAGGGGTGTGACCAGATGGAATGAGCCACAGTGGATGGGGGAGGAAGAGAGGATGGTGTGGGAGGGTGGTATCTTCCAGGAATAGGCCATGGTGGATGGTGGGTAGGGGGAAGAAGACAGCAGTAAAGATGGATGGATGGTGGGATGGCATCTTCCAGGAAGAGCCATTGTCTATGGAGGTAGTCAGGAAGAATGGATGGTGTTGAGGGAGCGGTATCTTCCAAGAATGAGCCATAGTGGATTGGGGGAGATAGGGAAAAGAAGATGGTATGAAAAGATGGTATCATCAAGGAATGAGCTACAGTGACTATGGGGTGGGGGGGGAGTCAGGAAGGCTAGATGATGTGGAAGCAAGGTATCTTCCAGGAATGAGCCTCAGTGGGTAGGAGAGACAGGAAGGCTATATATTGTTGGGGGGAATGATATCTTCCAGGAATGAGCCTGTTGACTGGGGAGACTGAAAGGACGGTTGATGTGGTGGATAGTATCTTCCAAGAATGCACCAATTGATGGGGGGATATAGGAAGAGTAGAAATAGTTGAGGGGTGAGGGGATGGTATCTTCTAGGAACGAACCACTGTAGGGGGAGAGAGGAAGGGTGGATGACTGGAGGGGAAATTTATCTTCCAGGAAGGAATAGTAGTGATGGAGGTGGGGGAGGGGTACCGGAAGACTGGATGATGTGGTGACAGTTATCATCTAGGATGATAGTAGGTTAAAGGATGGTATCTTCCAGGAATGAACCACAGTGTATGGAGGCGGGTGGAGACAGGACGGTTGATGGTGGCTGAGGGGATATTTTCCAGGAATGAGCCATAGGTTATAGGGGGAGACATGAAGGTTGGATTGGTATCTTCTAGGAATGAGCCATATAGATGGGGGGAGATAGGAAGAGTGGGTAGTGAGGGTGGATGGTATCTTCCAGGAATGAACCACATGGATGGGGGGAGTCAGCAAAGATGGATGTGGTGGAGAATGTTACCTTCCAGGAATAAGCCATAATCCATGGAAGTAGACAGGAAAAGTGTGTGTGTGTGTGTGTGTGTGTGTTTGGGGGGTGGGCAGTGCTATCTTCCAGGAATGAGCCACAGTAAATGGGGAAGATGGGAAAACTGGGTGGTATGGGAGAATGGTATCTACCAGAAATGAGCCGTGGTGGATGGAGAGGAGAGAGGAAGAGGATGAGGAGATGAAATCACCCAGGAATAAGCTACAGTGACTGTGGGGGGAGACAGGAAGGGTGGATCATGTGGGAGCATAGTATCTTCCAGAAATGAGCCTCAGTGGGTAGGAGACACAGGAAGGATGGATGGTGTGTGGGGATGTGTTCCAGAAGTAAACAATAATGGGTGGCAGGGAGAGGATGAGCGGATGGTGTGGTGAGATGGTATCTTCTAGGAATGAGCCACTGTGGATGGGGGAGGCAGGAAAGTTGGAAGGTGTGGGAAGATGGTATGTTCCAGGGATGAGCCATAGTAGAATGGGAGGAGACAGGAGGTGTGGTTGGTGTGTTGGGAAGGTTGCTTCCACAAATGAGCTATATGGGTGGGGATAGATGGGGCAGAGTAGACGGTGTGGGGGGATAGTATCTTCCAGGAATGAACCACAGTACATGGTGGGGGGACAGTAAGGATATGTGGTTTGGTGGGATGGTATCTTCCAGGAATGATCCATAGTACATGTTGGGGAATAGGAGGGGTGGGTGGCCTGTTGCAGGATGGTATCTTCCAGGAAGGAACCACAGTGACTCAAGGGGGGGGGTACCTACAGGAAGGATACATGGTCTAGGGGATGGTATTTTCTGGCAATGAGCTACAGTGAGGGTGGATAGGAGACAGGAATAGGGATGATATGGAGGCATGGTATCTTCCAGGAATGAGCCATAGTGGATGGAGGAGACAGGAAAAGTGGATGGTGTGAGAGGATGGTACCATCCAGGAATGAGCTACAGTGACTGTGGAAAGTGACAGGAAGAGTGAATGATATGACAGGTAGCTTCCATTAATGAGGTGCAGTGGATGAGTGTAGACAGTATAGGGGAGTGATGTTGGGGAATGGTGTGGCGGGAATCAGCAAGGTTTAGGGGAGATGCAAAGAGTGAATGTTGTTAAGGGAATGGTATCTTCCAGGAATGAGCCACTGTGGATGGGGGAGACCGCAGGGGACGGATGGTGTGATGGGTGGTATCTTCCAGGAATGAGCCACTGTGAATGCTGGGAGATATGAAGGGGGATGGTGTGGGGGATATTATTTTCCATGTAGAGAAAACAGGAAACAGCTCTTGAAGGCCCCAAGATAGGGAGATTTGACATGTTTTTGCAGTGATATGACAGTGTGCCTGGACTCTAAGGATGCCACGGGAGAGCAATGTAATTAGAGGTCGGAGAGCTGGTTGAGAGGCTGATGGTGGAAGATAGAGTGGCTGCATTCCAGAATTTTCCCTTTTGCCATGGATGCCATGAAGGGTTTTATGAAGAGTGGTTTTGTTGGTTTTGTTTTGTTTGGCATTGTCAAAAGATTTTATTGGCTGTAATGTGGCAAAGGATCAAAAGGGGCTGTAGTCATAAACCAGGTAGGGATGACCTGGAGGAGCCACCACCATTGTAACCCAGGTGAGGGATGTGGGTGGACTGGAGCAGGGTGGGAGCAGCGGAGGTGGAGAAGAGAGGACGATTGTTCAAGGAAGCGAGACCTGCATCCTTAATGATCCCTCACCAGCATCTTGACCCTTTTAGACGGTACCAGAATTAATATATTTGGAGCGAACCCATAACTGCCTCAAAACAAAGGAATAGGTTATTTTTCACCAGATGTTAAAATGTGCATTCCTTCAGAGGTAGAGCCTGTGAGGATTGTTGTTTTTCCCCCCCCTAAAAGCAGTGCAGATGCTTTTGAACTGTACTGAATTGTGTTTTAAAAAGGTGCTGTCCTGTGAAGCATGTATGTATTTACACCTGTCGCCTTTGTTATGTGACCAGGACCGCTAGGCAGTTTGCATCGCTCTTTGTAAACATCAACGTGACCTCTGAGCCCCATGAGGTGTCTGCGCTGTGGTTTTTGTGGTACGTGAAGCAGTGCGGAGGCACCACTCGGATATTCTCGGTCACCAACGGGGGCCAGGTACGGAGTGTCCCTTCTCAGTCTGTAACCTCCGTTTGTGGTTCTGCCCTCACCCAGTGCACAATCTTAATAGCTGCTTCCATGTCTGGAACCGTGAGTGGATTTGAGACACGAATTTTTGAAATGATTTCAACCAACGTGCCCGAAACCAAAAGGTCTCCTTTCCTTTTTTCGTTCCTAGAGATGTGTTCACAGCTAAAGAATGTTTCGTTTTGAACTAATTAGGTTTTTGGAATTTAGGTCCTTCCTTTTTTGGGGGGTGGGGGAGAGGTAGGTAAAATTAGTGCAGCTCTGTGGGAGGAGCTGAAGTACTACGGATCAACTAATTTTCAAAAACTTCTAGAACTGGGAAAATGATCGTACTTCAAGTCATCTCTGTTCCAGACAGGGTCTGTCCCATAGTGCAAGGTGTAGCGTCTTTCTCCACTAAGTGAATAATTCCTCTCCTCAGGTGATCTCCGGAACACCCTAAGTTGTTCTCATGGCTCCAAGAGGTATTGGCCATTTGACCCTTAGCTTTAGCAAATACAGGACAGTTGCACCTTTGAAGTATCTTTATACTTAGAAATTCCACATTGCTTCTTTTTTTTTAAAAGGTTTTATTTATTCATTTGAGACACAGAGATAGAGAGAGAGCATGAGCAGGGGGAGAGGCAGAGGGAGAGGGAGGGGCAGACTCCCTGCTGAGCCAGGAGCCCGATGTGGGGCTCGATCCCAGGACCCTGGGATCATGACCTGAGCCAAAGACAGACGCTTAACCCTCTGAGCCACCCAGATGCCCCCATATTGCTTCTTTTGACCTGTATTTTACTTTCTGAGCTATCGTGACCGATGTTTGATATTTATAGTCCTCGTTGCCTGCCTTCTCCTATAGGAACGAAAATTTGTGGGTGGATCGGGTCAAGTGAGTGAACGGATAATGGACCACCTTGGGGACAGAGTGAAGCTGAGGTGCCCTGTCACCTATGTGGACCAGTCGGGTGACAACATCATCATCGAGACATTGAATCATGAACTTTATGAGGTAATTCAGCCTCGTCCCAAGGAGCATATATTAAATAGGCCTCGTGTCTTCTGCAGCTTCTAACCAAATACAGTCCAAGCAGTGGTATAATTAATGCTGGTGTGTCTCCAACTCTGTCTCCCAAATTACCATTTTTAGTTGACCTGCCTTGTTCTGTTGTATGTGGTTACTGCTCCGTGTCATTCTAAATGATCAACATGATGTTTCTCCCCCTCTGTAAAGACCGAGACTCACACGTTTGAGGTGGTATTTTGTGTCTGTGTCTTTTAGTGCGGATACGTAATTAGTGCCATCCCGCCAACCTTGACTGCCAAGATCCACTTCCGACCAGAGCTCCCGTCAGAGAGAAACCAGTTAATCCAGCGTCTTCCGATGGGGGCTATCATTAAGTGCATGATGTATTACAAGGAGGCCTTTTGGAAGAAGAAGGGTAGGCTGCACTTACTCACGTTTAAATTGTGTTAAGTGAAGGGATCACACTCTCTTTAGGGACCTTCTCATAGACCTTGAACAGAAAAAAGATGACAAAGATAAGTATTTTTAAATTGGCAAAGAAAGGATCAGAAATCTCAGTCTGTCCATCACTTCACAGCCCCTGGTGCGACATAGAATGACCCCAAGAGCACCTGCTGTCAATGAAAGGGAAGGAAGAGATCCCCCCCAAGTGGCGGGGGCACCATTGCCCTGGTCCTTGGCATATGTCCTGCCCCTTACTCTAAATGAGAGAGTGACGCAAAGTGGGTGCTGTGGGAAGAGTGCCGCATTGAAGTCCCACAGTCCCGGGCTTCGCTTGCTTACTAGCTGAGTGACCTTCGCTGTGACAGTTCACCTTTCAGCGTCAGTCTCCTTATGTCAACAATGGTGACAGTGAGACCTGCTGTCAGGATGTGTGCGGCAATTAGCTGAGGCAGGGCCTGGGTGGATTTGGTGGCTATTGTTGGCAAACCTGCTCCTCCTCAAAGGATTCCTTCCCCCAGCTTCTTCTGTGGGTTCCTAGGGGTGATTCCCTCTGACGCAAGCCTCTCTTTGCCCGTGTACTCCAGGGCTCCGGGGCCTCGGTACGGTTTGAGCCATAGCACTGGTCCTGCGTGATCTTTATGTAGAGGTCATTGAGATGGCTCGTTTGCCACGTGTCTGGGTCAGCAGATATCCTTGTGTAGTTAATGTGTGTACTTAATAAGGAGATATCGTCTAGGGTTGGGGCAAAGACTGTTTGAGGTTTGCCTTCCTCTTAGCAAAAGAGTTTTATATGTGTGTGTATGTGTGTGTGTGTGTGTGTGTATCTCTATATATCTCTATATATAATCCCTAAATTTTTGATGAGGTCAGTGTCAATCTCCTATTGATTTTCTCTTTATTAAGATTACTGTGGCTGTATGATCATTGAAGATGAGGAAGCTCCAATTTCAATAACCCTGGATGACACCAAGCCAGATGGATCGCTGCCCGCTATCATGGGGTAACTTAGAGCTGAATACTGTGCATTTTCTAAATTGTGTTGGTGTCTTCATGTGGACGCTGGCAGAGCATATGGAATCGAGGTCAGGCAATCGTGAATAACCCTACAGAAATACATCATTTTCCACGTTTTAAAATTTAATGTTTTGTAGGTGGCACGGAACTCTGGGAAACTTGACAAAAACTGGCACGATTTTGAACTTGTGCCCCTTCCTTTCTTCCCCCACGAAACTTTTGAGGACAGAGTGAAGGAAGCAGCTAGACAGTATGGTAGACAGCCCCGCCTGGGGGCAGAATGTCCACACTCATCTAGAGTGAGAATTGACTGTTTTGTTCTGTAAAACCTTTCAGAGTTAGGCTTCTCTCCATTCCAGACATCACTACACCGCCAACGTGAATACGCTGATCGTTACCCAGGGATGTGAGACCCATGACCAGTGAGGAAGTGCAGTGTGAGGTAGAGCCGGCCCTTGAGTGGATGTCCCTCGTTGTGATAGGTCCCACCGCAGCTGTCCTTTGCTAGGGATGCTCCAGGGTTTGGTCCTGTGTCCGGAAAAGGAGAGCTCTCCCTTTCTCCTCCCAGCCCCCCGCCCTCCACAGCTCTGCCGTTGGGGGCCTGGGGGTCCAGACAAGGAAGCAGTGCTTTCACAAGGGAATTGCTCAGGAGTGCCTCCGCCTTCCCGAGTGCCCTGCCTTTGACCCTTCCTCAAAGCTCCACAACTCAAAAGGCTGTTTATTCTACCACATGACAACAGAAGAGCGCAGCCTCTGTACTGGCCGAGTGACTGCCAGACACCCACGGTTTGGCCCTTCCCCCTCGGGAGAGTCGAGCTCACGCACATTGCATCATTGAGGGGAAATTACAAAACCAGAGGCAGACCCGTGACCCGGGACTTAGATTGGACTGTGCACGAGACATTCTGTAACCACGTCTCTGGCTGCAGAATAACAGAAGTAGCACCAGCCTCCCTGGGAAGGGCGGGTGCTCACAGCGGAAGGATCAGAGGAAGGGCGCATCCTCTTCATCTCTAACCCCACTGGGCAAGAAAGGGTACAGACCGTGTGGGCCGTTCGCCACCACCTTCTGCGTGCCAGAGGAAAACAGAAGGTTGACCTAGAGGTTTCGGGAGACCGTCAGGACCAGTCCAACTGTGGATGGAAGGACACTGGATGGTCTTCTTGCCCTAGGAGTAAGATACTGTGGTATCTGCCTTTCTGGGCTTTCTTCGGCTTTATTAGCCACGACACGTATGGCGCAAGTTTTCCAGATGGGAATGGGGTTATTCAGGCAGTTCCTTTTTAAAAAGTGATACTCTAATCTGTCTTATCTGGACAATTGCCTCCGCCCTGCTCTTTGCTCTGGGCAATGAAAGCCTTTACGACAGGGGTGGTAATTGTCCAACTCGGGCGTTTGTGATGACTAGTACCTTTTGGCAACTAGAAAGGACCTTGTACTTGAGAGCCGTGAAATGTCCCCGACCCAAAGCCAGCATGTTTAATTTCCTCAATAAAACCCCAAAGCAAGTTAAAGAAAATCGTCCGTAGTTAAGAGTTAGAGCAGAGGGGTTGTTGTTTCATTCTCGATTTGAGATTTGACAGGAATGGCCACCACGAACTGCCCTTGAGAAAAGGAGCTGGAAGAAGCACCCAAGATCGAAAAAGATTTTCAGATCAATCATTTAATGTTTCATCTGGTACTGGTGATTTTCACTGAAGTCCTGTATAAGCCTCAAATGATTGATTCATGCATAAACTTAAAATTTAACCATAATCATTACTAGCAAGCCATAACGTAACAGTGTTAAATCAAGCAAAATTATGACTATATCCCATAAAGTTCATTACTTCAAATATCTTAGGTCATCCACAGATTCCTCCGAAATACTGTTCTCTGGATTAACGCAAATACGTTTTGTAATCCTTGCTTCCCAGAATGATCTCGAATAACAGACAGCTCTAAAGGAATTGCTAGTCAAACTGAGGAACAGTTTAATTTGGGGGTGAGGAAGAGGATGAAGTATCTGTGTTCGACTCTTGCATTCTCAGTCCTGACCTATCTTTTTGGCCTAGAACAAAAGAAATACAAGTGTAAAACTTTTTTTTTTTTAAGATTTTATTTATTTATTTGACAGAGAGAGAGAGCACAAGCAGGGGGAATGGCAGGCAGAGGCAGAGGGAGAAGCAGGCTCCCCGCAGAGCAGGGGAAGCCTGATGTGGGACTCAATCCCAGGACCCTGGGATCATGACCTGAGCCGAAGGTAGTCGCTTAACCAACTGAGCCACCCAGGCGCCCAAGTGTAAAACTTTTTTAAATGGAGAAATAATTTCAGTGTCCTTTAGCTCATTTGGATTTGTGAATGCTTTCTAATAATAGTGTGCCTAAGGATTTGTTGTCACAGTTCAGTTCATTAAAACATACATGCAATTAGTAATATCAGTATTTACAGATTAATTATAACTGAGTTTTACTGAGTTACTGAATTTGGGGGAGGTGCTAGGCCAGGTTCCCAGAAGCTAAGTTGGAGATGGAGATTTGGGTGCAAGGGGTTCGTTGGGGTGTGTGCCGGGGTCACTGTGGGGAAGGGAAGGAATCAAGATTGGGCAGAGGAAGAGGTTGGGCTCCGACATTGGCCGGGTGGAGGTCTTAGCCATCCCATAAGGAGTTCTGGAACTGGGATGGCCCTTCAGAGGTGTCATGCCCTGAGGTAAGGGAATGGACTTTGGTGCCCACCACACCCCAGAGATGGTCATTCTGGGGAGGGGCGGGACCTTGAGCCAGGCAGCCCTCTGCCACAGAAGGGAGTGGCTGGGGAAGGGTCCAGCCCTGAGCTCTCAGGGTAATGAGTGCTTGGTCCCAAAGAGGGATCTGGGGGGCCCACCATGGGTCCACTGCAACTACTAACTTCGATTTGGTTTTCCAGCTTTTATCAAGTATTTGGCAGAAGGCAACAGTCAATTACCAGGATAGCATTTAGCGCAATATTAATTCAACTGACATTTGATTTCCAACTATATGCCAAGAGCCATGCTGAACTTTGGGGGTAAAGCATTGAGCAGGAGGTGACCGGTTACTTAGGAGCCCGCAGCCTAGAGGGGTTTTGGACACAGGCAGATGGAAGGCAGCCTGGCATTTTCTCTAATAGAGGGAAATAGTGGGAGTGCCTGGGCGAGGGTTCATCAATGCTGAGTGGCGGAGGCAAGAACATTTTGGAAAAGAGGAGGCAGCTCGCTCACCTAATCATTCAAATGTCACCTCTCTCTGCAGCTTCATACTTGCCCGAAAAGCTGACCGACTTGCCAAGCTCCATAAGGAAATAAGGTAAGAAGTGACATCTGAAACACATATAAAAGCTTAGCTTTATATTGTGCTTGGTGGGCTAACAACAGTATAATGGCATCTTGAAAAACACCACGATTCACTAATAGTCTTAAAATCCCAGTAAATCGACCTTTTTGTCACCATGGCAACCTTTGTGTTACAAGTCCCCTCGATTCAGTGCTTGCCCATATGCGTTAATTAATGTAGGTTTACATATTTGTGTTTATTGTACAGTGGTTGAGAGGTAGGGTTTCCCCCTGTAGGGCAGATGGAGAAAAATTATAGGAAACGTTAGCAGTGCAAAAAAGCTTTAGAGGCTGAGTCCTAATCGCCTCGCGAGACCATTATCCCTTTTCCAAGGTCCTCTGATGTGTACTTTTTCTGAAGAGCAAAGCCATACGTATGGGTTTCAAGCTGTTGCCACGTGTGTACATAGAAGTATCCCCCTTTGATTATCTAGGACGCAGCTCTGACGTTCCCTTCTCTAATAGCTTCCTAGTATAAAACAATCGTTGTAGGACAGTGGCTTTTTTTTTTTTTTCCCTTCCTTTCTCCCTTTCCCTTTCTGCCTTGTTGTATTTGTTTGGTTTTGCCTTGGAATCCTTTCCTTTGTTCAGATGAAAGCTTACCAGGAACTCTTAACCTGGAAACAGTCATTTGGCTGTTGGGGGGCAGGGTGCCTCTGGGAATTTCTGGGCTTCCCTTCCAGAGGGTAGCCCTAAATCCTTTGTTGGCTTTTGAAGAGGACCAGGATGCACACAGATGTACACTTCTCTCTGCATTTAATTAAACAATGAAGCAGCAAATCCACAAGCAGCCCTTGCTTTGAGAGTTACTTTGATGACTTTGGAATTCAGGCTGCAAAAGTTTCCACATTTGCGCACGAATTTGTTCCTTTGAGCTACCATAAGGTCTGATTTCGAGAAGGGAACTCTTTGTCTCCTCACTCAGAAGAGGGAGAATTTGGGGTCCAGTGGCAGGGAATGGTCTGTCCGGGTCTCAGAAGAGGGAGAATTTGGGGTCCAGTGGCAGGGAATGGTCTGTCCAGGTCTCCACAAAGTCAGGAATAGCATCCAATGCAAACTTTTTTTCATTACGCCATACTAAGCTTGACATTTTCTTTTGGATTTCCTGCTTTCCCCCTTTATTAATAGTAAAATAAATACCAGCCTGGATGTAGACATTTGGTTATGATTCCACACGGTGGCTGAACTTCTCAAAAGTTTTTATAAGGCAAAACCCTTAGAACCCCGAATGTGTCTTTGACTGGAGCGAGATTCCCACAACTGACTGCATCAACATCTGCCAGAGAATGTTTGGAAAATATGTTTTTTTTCTGAGGCCAATAGATTATGATGTAGATTAGGAGTGGAGCCTGAGTATTTTGTATCTTTTAACAAGCTTTTCAAATGATTATGACGAGCAGCCAGATTTAGAAACCAGTGAGTAAACACAACTACAAGAGATTTGCACAGTGACCTCTTTTGGCCATGATTTAAAATATGTTCTACTATTTTTAGAGCCCAACCAACCAATCACTGCATTGCTCTAACATTTTTGACTTACATAACTTTCCCCCAAATTTTTACATTTTAATGGGACGAAGGGATGGGGAAGATAATTTCCTGATGTTTTGTATGAACTCATCCCTGACTCATCTTATAACTATAAAATACAGTAAATAATGACTTCCCTTTCTATTATAAAGGGCTTATTGTCCATCATGAAAAATTAACTGCAAGGTAGGTTGATTGGATTTTAGATTTCATTCTGTTTTAATAAAGATTTTATCACATGTCCCCAAAATAAGCTAAGCATCATTAAACTTTAGAATGATGATCCATCCATACTTTTGTTTTCTGATTGACTCTCAAATGTTGGAATTTCCTCATAACACCCACGCGAAGTAGGTAAGAACCCATCATCTCATCATAGAGTAGGAAAGAGGTTATTATGTTATGCTGAGGATGGATTTTGATTCAGTACATTTTTATTGAGCTTCAGCCTCCTCATCTTTCACATTAAGTGGCTTGGATTGGACAGAGAGAGACAGAGGCAGGCAGTCGTCTGGAAACCTCTTCCAGTTCTGCATTTCCTTTATGGTTATTGATCTGCAGTAGGAGCAGCTCCTTCATGGAAACCAAACTTTTCCTGTTTGTACTGGAACTTACAGAGCCACCTAAATGTTCTAGAGCATCACCTCAGCAGTAGCCTTTGTCTGTCTCTGAAAACCTTCCATGGGAACATGGTGGCAGCAAGCCACTATGTTTATGATTTCACCTCCTCTTCCTGACTTAACACTGTATCTCCATGAAATGGAAGTTCTGGGAGTTATATAAATGGCCTAAATGTGAGCATTTTGACAAATTTATAAGGTTAGATTTTATCTCACATCGTTCAGAGAAATTGAGGACATGTTTTAAAAATGTTTTATAATGGGGGCGCCTGGGTGGCTCAGTTGGTTAAGCGACTGCCTTCGGCTCAGGTCATGATCCTGGAGTCCCGGGATCGAGTCCTGCATCGGGCTCTCTGCTCGGCGGGGAGCCTGCTTCTCCCTCTCCCGCTCCCCCTGCTTGTGTTCCCTCTCTCGCTGTGTCTTTCTCTGTCAAATAAATAAATAAAATCTTTAAAAAAATAAAAATAAAAATAAATAAAATAAAAAAAATGTTTTCTAACGTAATCGGCAACGTAAAATCATCATTCTTAAAAATCTCTGTTTCTTTTATTACTAGTAAGTATAACCCTCCCACCCCTCCTTTTCCCCCTTCTCTCATTTTTGGCCATTAGTCTCTTCACCTTTCAGTACTTGTGTTTCAGATTCGAGGTAAACCCTGCACCCATTTTTTAGCAAATTTTTTTTTTTCCAGTTGCGCATTAGCGCCTAACAAATATTTTGGAGCAGTTTCAATGTTTAAACTATATAAAGACTAAAGAAGTTAAATACCAAAGAATATAACTGGCTCAGTATGAACCTGTTCAAACAAATCCTGAAACGGAACCATTTAGTTTGAAAAGGGGTGATTTTAGTAAATTAGCACTTTTTAATTTCCCCAAGAGTGGTTGTGAGTTTGCAAGTACCTGTTTCAGAAAGCGCCTAGATCAGTGAAGCTACTGATTTTCTTTAAGACCTACCACGTGTCATGTGATGTGATAGTCATTTACATAATGAATTATGAGGGTAGCCAAAGACTGTCTGGGGTAACATTGTGTAGCACATCCCTTGGAAGTACCGTGTCCACAGACCATTCTGTCACATGCCCGATGACTAGAGTAGAATGACCATAGGCCTCTTGTGGTGTGGCATATTGTATGTTATACTTAAAAGATTAAATAAGCTTCAGATGTTCATAGATCTTTAAAACATAAGTGGAGGATAGTTAAAAGATGCTGTCATATGGACTATGGACTTCTAAAAGGGATTATTCTAGAATTCTGTGTGTTCCAGAAAAGTGACTTAGCATCATTTCCTAAACTGACTGCACTTAATCAAATCTTATTTTCCCCATTTGAATCTTGAATAGATAGGATACCGGGTAGTAAAAGAGGCAAAAATATAAAAGGAAAATTCTGTTGCGTCTTCAAGTCAAATGACCGTATTGAGGCACAGAGGGTTGATCCGAGTGCAGAGATTCATGGAACTATTCATGTTGTGTAGTTACCATTGATTTTAGGTTTTTCTTAATACATCTGGTTCGTTGGCGAGAGCCAATGATAATGAATAAACTCACTGTGTTTATTCTCTACTCCTCAGTTATTACTTCCTTAACATTTCTCTTTTTTATTCTTCTTTACAGGAAGAAGAAGATCTGTGAGCTCTATGCCAAAGTGCTAGGATCCCAAGAAGCTTTACAAGTAAGAAACCCTCAGCTTTAATCCCTGGAAAGTTCTGCTCTGTTTGCTCTAAGTGGTAAAGCAAAGCAGAGTCTGGTTTCCTGACCGTCTTAGGAAGAGAGTCTTATGAAGGGATATGCTTACTGGAGGATTAACTTTAGTCCCAGAAAGGCCAATGAAAGCTGCCGTCAGGGGCATGCAATTTCTGATGCAGCAGTTCCTTGGGCTGTTTCCGTGTTCCCTGGATAACTGGCAGCCAATTGCCATCAGGGCCTGGAGTCACAGGTATTATCTCCCGGGTGGGTGAGATCAGTTCCCAGAACAGAGGTCCTGCCCTCCCATCAAAGCCAACTGACTGCTCTGAAGCGAAATCCCAAATACGTCCTCATCTGTTGGTGAGGGCGCACTAGTGAATACTTGATAGGGTGGGCAGAATCTAGACTCTCTCAGGTCAGAGCCACACTAATTGATTTTTCCATCCGTAGACTCCATTCACAGCTCATGTAATTTCAGTCCTTTCAGTCCACCACTGAAAGTGATGACGGGAATGAAATTCTATCTGAAGATCCTATTACCTAGCTGGGGGTTCTTTCAGGAGATTATCTCTGAACTGTTCGAACAATGAACTTGTAGACTCTGTTAGAGAAAAACTCAGAGAACGGTCTCTCATGTCTCTTGGAAACCATTGCTCATCTTTAATTGTCCCCGTTTTAGCAGGATTCCCATCATTCACTTTTCCAGCTCAGAGAAATGGTTCCAAAAAAAAGCCTTTCTTAGACATCGTGCTTATCTTTTTTTTTTAAGATTTTATTTACTTATTTTAGAGAGAGAGAGAGCAAATGGGTGGAGGAGCAGAGGGAGAGGGACAAGCAGACTCCAAACTGAATGCAGAGTTCGACGCGGGGCTTGATCCCGGGACCCTGAGATCACGACCTGAGCTGAAATCAAGAGTCAGATGCCCAACTGACGAGCCACCCAGGCGCCCCTACATTGTGCTTATCTTATGTCTCCTCCCTTCCACTTTTTTTTTTTTCCCAGCCGTGGTAGATAGGGAAGTAAAAGTCTGTTATTTAGAGAATCCAGAGATTTGAGCAGACCTTTCCAGAATGTGATTGTTGGTGAGGCTTAGTCTAAAGATTTGAGATCTGCGTGGCACTGCCCTCTCTCCCAGATATTGGAATACTCCATGCCTCCCCTCATCAAGAGGTCGAAAAAATCAAAGTATACATGTTTTGTCACTTGGTACCTCCCCGAAGGCCATTTACTTGGTACTGTCATGTTTCCCCTTAAATGAAATAGAAGAACAGGGCCACCTTTTTCTTTAATGTAAAGTTTTTGTTAAAGTAAAATGCACAAGAGCCTTCGTGGTTGACGGGTCGCATTTCAGCTTTGTCTTCCCTTTGGAATTCTCCCCCCACCGAATGCAGCCAGTGCATTACGAAGAGAAGAACTGGTGCGAGGAACAGTACTCCGGGGGCTGCTACACCGCCTACTTCCCCCCTGGGATCATGACTCAATATGGAAGGTACTGCCCAGACGCCATCCCGATTAATCCAAGACAGGAACCGAACTTTATTTTTTTTTAAGATTTATTTATTTATTTATTTATTTATTTATTTGTCATCGGGAGAGAGAGAGAGAGCGAGAGAGCGCACAAGCAGGGGGAGCGGCAGGCAGAGGGAGAGGGAGAAGCAGGCTCCCCGCTGAGCAGGGAGCCCGATGTGGGGCTTGATCACAGGACCCCGGGATCATGACCTGAGCCCAAGGCAGACGCTTCCCCGACTGAGCCACCCAGGCGCCCCGACATGCACCAAACTTAAACTCATAAGCAAAGTTCGAGGGGACTTGGAGACATAGTGGCCAGCATTCGGATTTCGAATGCCCCAGGTAGTTAGGGTGTGGATTTCTGGCCGTCCGTAGGAAAATAAGGACGCCGGTACGTAGAAGCTTAGCTGTCAGCACGCAGAGCAGTAGCAGAGCACGGGTGAGGGTTTCAGATGTCAGTGCTCCGGGTGAGCACCCTGAAAGCTGCAGTGTCCTCCAGCCAGCCTTCTTGAGCTCAATTAGACATTGAGTTTCACACGACTACCCTGGGCTTCTGAGTACCCGTCTCCGCCTAAGGACGTTAGCTACAGACATCTTGCTGCAGCCACTCCTCTTCTTCGGGGGAGCCGCCCCTGCCGAGGACAGCTAACCTGTGAGGAGGGGATCTCGGCACGGATTCGGAGAGTCCGCCTTGGCTTCGAAGCCCCATAGGCCCCAGAAGAGCCATTGTCTCTTGTAACTGCCTCATAGGGCACAGGGGTCTGTCTGTCCAGGGATGTGCTCAGCTGCAAGAGCCCAAAGAGAGAGCCTCCTGCTGGGTATTTACAACTCAGGACAGTCTTCCCAGCCCCGACGCGGTTACCGGTGTGAGGGCGGGAGAGGCATTTGGGCGTAAGCAGTGTCGCGTGGTGACGTCCCTGGCGGGGTACCTTCCATCAGGTTCCCAGAGGAACGGAGCTGGAGCTGGAAAGTTAATTCCGGCTCACGTGTGTCCACAGAGAAAGAGGGGCTTCTTAACCCTTTCCTTACATGAGACTGTTTGTTGTTTTTAATTAATTGAATCAAATAGTCTTTGTGAGTGATAATGGGATTGATGAGCTGGACTAGTTCCGAAGGCAGAGTAGAAGGCCAGAAGTGGATAAAGAAGATGTGGTCCATATATACAATGGAATATTACTCAGCCATCAGAAAGGATGAATACCCAACTTTTACATCAACAGGGATGGGACTGGAGGAGATTATGCTAAGTGAAATAAGTCAAGCAGAGAAAGTCAATTATCATATGGTTTCACTTATTTGTGGAACATAAGGAATAACATGGAGGACATTAGGAGAAGGAAGGGGAAAATGGGGGGATGGATTAGAGGGAGAGATGAACCATGAGAGACTATGGACTCTGAGAAACAAACAGGGTTTTAGAGGGGAGGAGAGTGGGGGGATGGGTTAGCCCGGTGATGGGTATTAAGGAGGGCACGTACTGCATGGAGCACTGGATGTTATACGAAAACAATGGATCGTGGATCACTACATCAAAAACTAATGATGTATTGTATGGTGACTAACATAACATAATAAAATTAAAAACTACAAAAAAGAAAAGAAGGCCAGAAGTGGGAAACTGGAATCAAGGATAGATGAAACCAAAGATTCCTGAATTAGAGAAAGGCAAGAAGGCCTTGGGGGGTGGAGGGTGTGCCGCTCGGGAGATTGTGTGAAAATGGCTTGCCGACCTGGTAGGAGTCAAAGCTGACAAGCTAGGAGGGGACACTTGCCCATTCAGCCCAGCCCTTCTGGGGCTTTCTTTGGGAGGACCTCTTTGGAAGAGAAGGCCCATTTCCCTGTCCTCAGCCAGTCTCCACATAAATTCACAAAAGCTAACTGTGCAGACGTGGTTATTTTGAGACAGACAGACCTCTAATCCCTCGGGTCCCTCCTCTGCTACAAATCAGTTCCTGTCCCTGTCTTCCCACTCACCACTGTGGTTCGTCCTGATACCCTGGGAGTGCTTGGCTGGGGTCTGCTGCCAGATCCCCTTTCGTGAAGAATGCACCCCCTTGGAAAGATGGTGTGGGGAGGAGAATGGACTGCAAACAGGAAACCTACAGCCAAGAAATCTGATTGTGGATTTCCTGTGTATTCTTGTCTTCTGATCCTGGCATCCTGGCTGGCTAGGCAAAGGCCAGCGTTACCTTTAGTGACTGATGATCTGACAGCCTGCTTCTCTCTGGCTTGAAAGTTCAGATCCTTGGGCACAGGCTCAAGGAACAGGGAGGGGCCTTCCACCTTTGGCTGAGCCATACAGGAGTTTTGGAAACGATCTGAGTTGCGCTGTCTTGTCTGGGCAAATGAGGGCAGCGACGGGCCCATTTACCCTCCTTGCCTTCCCAGGTAACTCTGTGTGACCTCTCTGTTCTCTCAAAGGGTCATTCGCCAGCCCGTTGACAGAATTTACTTTGCTGGCACGGAGACAGCCACACACTGGAGCGGTTACATGGAAGGGGCAGTAGAGGCCGGAGAACGAGCAGCTAGGGAGGTAAGGAAGCGGGGGCGCGTCACTGTCTCTCCCGAGGCCGGTGGTGGTTTTGGCATCGGGCCTTTCCGGCTCTTGACATGGATAAACGTGCACCTTCTCTGCCGCTCCTTCCACTCCTGGGGGGCTCCTTGATGGCGAGCGGGGCCTTGCGTCTGTCAGGACCTTAGAAGCTCACTTCACCACGGCCACTTTCTTGCAGGTCTTGAATGCTCTGGGGAAGGTGGCCAAGAAAGACATAAGAGTTCAAGAACCGGAATCAAAGGTGAGTTTCGCAGCTTCCTCTCCATGGACCAGTAATCGAATGTAAAACTCTTGACTCTCATCTTCCAGCTTGTAAGGTCATTGTAGAAGCCGCTCTCGGGCATATGTCCATGCGCCTCAGCGGGGCGAACGAGAGTTGCTCTGCTTAATGCTCTCTGCTCATCCATCCAGGATGTTCCAGCTTTGGAGATCACCCACACCTTTTGGGAGAGGAACCTGCCTTCTGTGGCAGGCCTGCTGAAGATCATTGGATTCTCCACATCAGTCACTGTCCTGTGGATTGCGGTGTGCAAATTCAGGCTGCTGACACGATCCTGAGGTTTCGGCCTCATGCTTTCTGCCTACTCTTTCCCAGCACCATCAAAAGCAAAATGTTGGCAAAGGCTGTATCATTGGATCATCTTTAAATGCACTGATTTTCACCCATAAGTTTAGTCTCAGTTGGTGTCAGAGTAAAAACAACCCAAAGAATCACCTCATTAATTTCAATAAGATCAAGCTCCATTGCGTTATTTGCCTTGTGTAGACTAACTTGTGCTGACTGGTAGAATAAAACCTTGTGATCAACTCCTTAATTTCAAGATGTCTAATTGAAGTGCTGGTCAGGAACAATTTCTGTGTCCTGTTTTGCTCCTCTTTAACACGAAATGCCTGATGATTGCAGAAATGAAGCGGTTCCCTTTCTCTTTGTAGAGGTTAAATAGGTGACGGCCCAGCCTGTGACCATCCTTTTCAGTCCTTAGGAAATAGTGAAGTGTAGGTCCAGAGCCCAGAGGCTGGCAGCTTCCTGGGGGTCAGCAGCTCCCCCTTTGGATGAGGGATAGTAAATGAAAGCAATGGGGGTGTAGACCACTGAGGGACATCTTATAGGCCATCCTGGCCACTTCTACTTCCTGTGACGTTTCTAGAAATCTAGTCTGGTGTTTCAGGTGACTTGTGTGTAGCTCCCCACGGGAGCAGAGTAAACTAGTGGCAGGACTGTCCCCCAGGAGGCCTCCTGATGAGCTCCGCACGAGACCCACTGCAATAGGCATTTGCTCTTCCTCCTGGAGGATGACTAGACATCACAATAACCTTCTCTGCTAATTTCGAGAAAGTATTTTCCTTTTCTCGGGTAGACCCTGGCTATCTGAAGGCCTTAGTGGCATACACTTTTTTTTCTTTTTTCCTAGGACTGCAGTAGAATTAGGCAGATCTGTTAACCTAAATGACAGAGTTACCTTTGAGTAAATATCAGCATGCTGATTTCTCTCAAATAGGAACTGAGATACACATAGTAAATTTCTGATTGCTATTTGTTGAGACTATCAAATAGAGAAAGGAAATTGGGGCTTTATATTTTAACCTCACTGGCTTTAGTTATTAAGTTTATAACAGACATGAAATTGAGTGATTTTAATATGAAGACTGAGTTCTCTATTTTAAGAGTAATGTGGGCCCAGAACAGTGCCCACCTCTTTCTGGCCTTTCCCATTTTAAAAACTCAGATTTTTTTTTAAAGCCCCTTCCAGAGGTTTCAGCCATAAAAGACTACTGTTTTACATACAAGCATCTGGGGGAAAAAATCAACACCAATGTGATCAAATAAAGCAGGTGACAAGATTCAGTAGACTTGGGTACACAGGTGGATACACAGTAACATCTTATCCCACATCACTGATGAATGAGGCATTTCATTTTAGATGAAGTTTCTAGATAGCTGAAATTTACTCTTTTATGTACCAAAAATTTTACATAAAAATTGTGATGGGCATACTTCCACACATTATTCAACAAGCTTCATTCAAATTCACCTTTTTTAATTAATCAGATCAATCTTTATGTGTCTCAATCATTTTAGACTTTTATAAGAGAGTGATACCATTGTGTTTGCCCCTCTGCTGAATGTCACGTGATTGTCTTAGAGCTGGTGAGTCTACTGCTTCTTCTCCCATACTGCTTCTCCCATATTCAGGATTTTCATACCCTTCTTATCTCCTAATACCTCTTAACCTAATCCCCTATGTTCTACTAAATGGGAATTAAAGATTGCCAGAGAAAATCAACTCAAGTTTATTACATAATTAACCATATAAATTCACAAGTCACTGGACCCTGATAATGAGGGCTTAAGGTATTGCAGTTTTGCCTATCGTAAGAGCAAAGAGCAGGATTTTTCTGCCACTCTTTACTTTGTAATTGAAAAGCATTTTAGCTAACGTAGGAGTTTGGGTACTATCTTGGATATGCTCCAGTCCATAAGGAGTTGCCACATATTATATCAAAGTGCTCAGAGAAATCACATCCCTGATCTATTTCAGTTGTTTTGTTCACTTACTGATTAACTTGGTTCTGACACACCTTTTGGGAAATGCTGACTTCAGCTTCTTAACAGGCAACAGTTTTAACAGTAAGGAGGTTGTTAACATATCTAAGTCTTTAATGCTGAAGGACTCCTGAGTAGTGATTTACCCTCTTTTCAAACTTTTTAGAAAACCAATTAATTTACCCTAGTGAGATCAGCCCTGTTAAACTATAGATTGAACTTAAAAATGAATGCTATTCCAGATGTGCCAAGATAGGAAATCAGAGCTGAGAACTCCCACCATTTTATTTGTCCACCACTGAGATCCTAGAGGTCTTTCTTCCCACCCCAAGAAACCAAAGGCAGTTTCAGCAGCTGATAGAGCCTGGCATCTGCTTCACAGTCCTGAAGGCTGTGTTGGCCTCACTCCACTGGAAGGTCAAGAATTAGACTTAAAAAGGTAACCTTTGGTCACAACTGTTAAATAAGGACTTGAACTGCGCAGAAGAGAAAATACCGAAGGACTGTGAACTATGTTTAGTTTGATTGTGAACTCGGTGCCTGATGTTCTGTCTGAGATGTGCCCCAGTGCTCCACGTGGGAGTTCGCCTATGTGTGTGTGTTGCCACTGAAGTAACGATTTTGCCCGTATGGTACTGTTTTGTTTGTTAATAAAGTGCACTACCGTCCCTGATTCAGACCTCGCTCCTCTTTTTAGTCAGTGGGGGATGGGCTTACAAGGCCACTTCGTACTGACTCCCCAGTTCTCACAGTTCCCTTTGACTCTCACGGTCCATCAAGGTTTCCTGGGAGCTGATTAAATGCTAGGATATTGTGTTCCTGCCTGGGTCACAACCAGTGGGGAGTCCGATGGCCGTTTTCTCACCTAACTAGCTTCTGATGCCTTGAGCAGATCACTGTGGTTCTCTGTTTCAGTCTCCCCATCTGGAAGAGGGTGGGTTGTACTTGATGGCTTCTAAGGATTCTTTCCATGGCAGCTTTATGGGATTTATACATTTGCTGCCAGTGATCTCTTTTGGCCCCTACTGGTATGGCAGAGGCAAAGTCACTCTGTGGCTTGGTTCATTCCTTTTCTTAGGTTGGGTTCCCTGGAAACAAACAGATGGGAGAATCAGGGCAGAAACTTTACTGGGGACAGCTCTCAGGAAATACAGCTAAGGGGACTGAGCAAGGCAGGAGTGGGCAGGAGTTGACCTACTAAGCAAATGCAGCTGAGGCCTCAGCAGATCCTAAGGGGGTAGCTGGGAAGGCCCTTCACAATTGATCCCCATTGAAACAAAGGATCTCGCCTCTGTCCCTTCATTAGCTGCCCTCTGGGAGTGGGTGTTGCCTTGGATTGGGTGAGGCAGGTCCAAGGACCATTCCTAGTGAACTGCAATGAACTGAGATCAGCCCGTATTCCCAGTAGCTGGAGGATTCAGGGAGAGGTACCCACAGTATCCACTTACTCCCCAGGAGAATACAGTTGCCCTTTGTCATGTATGAGGCATTGTGAACTTGAGCTTTGGTTTTACAGATAGAATGGAGCTGTCTCTGTGAGCCTATCCCTGTTAGATAAGGAAACTGCTTTTAGACAACCTTCTAAAAGCAGTTTCTTCCACCCTCTGTACTAGTTAGGTGGAAGAAAAAAACCCAGAATTGGAAGAAACTCTGGAAATGCTTCAACCTCTGTCTCAATGAGGAAGCCCCTTCAACAGGTTACTAACAGATCAAAGGGGTGGGGGGTGTGCATTTATAAGCAGGAGGCCCAAATCTGATGTTTTCAGGAGTGAGGCAGCTAAAAATGAACAGCAGCGGGTATGATGCATCAGGGAGTAGTGGGGATTGTGGCTGACCTGGTGAGTGTCTGCCTCTCTCAACAGTATCTATATTCAAAGTGCTTTAAAAGATTGTGAATTGTGTAAGACTGTTGAATCACAGACCTGTACCTCTGAAACAAGTAATACATTATATGTTAAAAAAAAAAAAATAGTAGGAAGGGGAAATCAGAGGGGGAGACGAACCATCAGACACTATGGACTCTGAGAAACAAACTGAGGGTTCTAGAGGGGTGGGGGGGAGGGAGAGGGGTTAGCCTGGTGATGGGTATTAAGGAGGGCACATATTGAATAGAGCATTGAGTGTTATATGCAAACAGTGAACCATGGAACACTACATCAAAAACCAATGATGTATGGTGATTAACATAATAAAATAAAATTTAAAAGAAGACTGTTAACCGATAAAAACGTGTGAAGGCTTTGCTCACAATTGTCGAAATTGTTCTGAAGTCTCTGATAAATAAAACAAGGCTTAGGTTTACATTGTTTAAATGACAGATTCTTTTAGAGTGCCTTTGATTTTCTGCGAAATGGCACCAAGACCAGCAAGCAACCATTTTGTAAAACTATTTAGAACAGGGAAGAGAGGCCTGGTTTGGAAGAGCAAAAAGACAAGGGGGAAAAGAACCCCTCCCAAGTCCTTCTTAGAATAGAAATCACCCTCAAGAGCTAAGCCTTCCCCCAACCCACCCAGGGCAATGCTTATCTCCCGCCGTGTGGATGTCACGATTGACAAGAACAGTGCCAAACTTTATTGGAAAAACCGCACCCTCGCCGTGAGAGAGAACTCACAGGTCTTCTGTCGGCATTCAAGCCGTGCTGACCACAATGTAATTTTAGTAAACAGGACATCAACATTGGATGGATTTTTTTTTTTTTTTAAGATTTTATTTATTTGACAGAGAGAGACACAGTGAGAGAGGGAACACAAGCAGGGGGAGTGGGAGAGGGAGAAGCAGGCCTCCCGCTGAGCAGGGAGCCTGATGCGGGGCTCGATCCCAGGACTCTGGGATCATCACTCGAGCTGAAGGCAGACGCTTAACGACTGAGCCACCCAGGCACCCCAACATTGGATGGATTTTTAAAACTGTGAAGCTGCTGTCCACTTTATACCAAGGTGGTGGGGAAAATGCAAGGTATGTCTGTTAGCCTGAAGTGGCCGGCTGAGACTTTGGAGGAGCAGACAGTCATTCAACACACAGTTACTGAGCACCTACTATGTGCTGGTAGGCACTGCACTGGGATTCAGCAGTGAACGAGACAGAGCCCACCTCATGGAGCACAAAGTCTAGTGTAGACGCCAAGGAACGCATTCACTGTGGCTCTGGTCAATGCTGTGACCGAAAAGCACAGAATATATGAATGCAGGGGAAGTGTTCTGGGGGAACATGAGATTTAAGGGGAAATTTCTAGGATCTGTCCTCAAGCCTCCTTAAGCGTCACCATGTGGCAATTCAGTGAGAATACTGCATCGGGCCGAGAAAGGAAGTACAAAATAACAAGATGGTGTCTTAGTCCGTTTGGGCTGTTAACAATATGCCGTAAACTGGGCGGCTTATATACAGCAGAAATTCTTTTCTCGCAGTTCTGGAGGCTGGAAGTCCGAGATCAAGTCTCCAGCAGATTCGGTGTCTGGTGAGAGCCTGCTTTCTGGTTCATAGATGATGCCTTTTCACTGTGTCCCCATAGGGTAGGAGGAACTCGCTCCAGCTTCTTTTATAAGAGCACTAATCCCTGGGGCGCCTGGGTGGCTCAGTCGTTAAGCGTCTGCCTTCAGCTCAGGTCATGATCCTGGGGTCCTGGGATCGAGCCCCGCATCGGGCTCTCTGCTCCGCGGGAAGCCTGCTTCTCCCTCTCCCACTCCCCCTGCCCCTGCTTGTGTTCCCTCTCTCGCTGTCTCTCTCTGTCAAATAAATAAAATCTTTAAAAAAAAAAAAAAAAGAGCACTAATCCCATTCATGAGGGCTCCACCCTCATGACCTACGCACCTCCCAAAGGCCCCGCCTCCTAATACCCTCAACATTGGGGTTAGAAGTTCAACATACGAATTTTGTGGGGAGGCATTCAGTCCCTAACCGACAGCATGGCGAAACGGTAAAGAAAATCACCACAAGCATCCTCAATAAGTGCTGGATGTTAAGTCCCATTTGCCCCATTGACCATTGTTCCCCTTAAGTCTTGTTACTGTTCTCTACCCAGCCCTTCTCTGCCCCCAGAGATCTGTATCAACCAGGACCATCTTCCAACCCCCTGTGTGCAAGGGCCGCCCAAATTTGTTTTAAAAGAGTGCCATCTTCTGGCCAAATACTGCTGTTTCAATGGAAAGCCTAAAGTATTCAAGAGTTTCGTGCTTGGGGAAACTAAGGGGTGTCACCCCCAGCCAGAATTTCTTCCAGACACATTTGTCTGTGCTCTCTTACTTCCCAGTTGCTACGTGCATCAGAAACATTTGCTGTTTAATATCCACAGCCTTTCCTCTGCCCAAATCCCCCAGGAAGATTTTTCTGTTAGAACGGCGTGGTTGCTCGGCTTCCATTGTGTCTGTCTGGATACTGAGTGAGGAAAATAGGTGGGAGCCGCGAGAGGTGGAAGGAATTACTTTTACCTTAGGTAGGGCAGGGAACTCATCCAGGAAAAGCAGGAGAGAGGGCTGGGGGGCGGGGAGAAAAGAAAGTTCTAGAAAGTCAAATTGGGGCTCTGGAGTGCAGCTGGAGAGAAAGGGTTTGCAAAAGCTGCCTTGACCACCTAGGAACACAGAAGGTGAGGAGGCTTTTTAGGAAGTCTGGCTAAGAGTCGTGTGGTACAGTAAGGATCTACACTACTCTTTACACTTTTGGGGGGCTAAATTGTGTTTCTTTTAGATACTATATTGTACTGGGACCACCTTAGAGGTCCCCCAAACAGCCTATATTATTCTGGGCTATATAAATTCAGAGAACATATGGTTAATAGTGCCTGGCATCCTGAACTGTGCCTAAGAGTCCGGTAGTTCCAGTTAATGGGATCTCAGACAAACTAAAGAGAAGGACCTCAGCCACCGTGCCCTGGAAAGACGACATCTAAGCTGGTAAACTGTGCACCCCAGGCTGGATATACACTAAATAGATCTCACAGTGAATTAGATTTATATTAAGAAAAAGAGGTCCTCTTGCCCATCATGTGTCTTCAGCTGACTACCATGGCCCATTATATCAGCATCAACCAGTAAACATGGGAAGTGCAGATGTGGGGCCCCTAGGTGAGCCTAAAGAGGCTGCCAGTGTTAGATGGGCTTTGTATTTATCAGAGCAGGCCGAAATGTGCATCCTAAAGCCAAGTTCACTGGAAGGCGGGGGTGGGGGTTGCATTGAGACAGGCTAAAGGCTGATCAGCTTCTCTGACAAATCAACAACCTTGGCTATGTCTGCCATTTTAATTCTATGGGCTGTATTAGTTTCCTATCCTTCCTATCCCAAATGAACACAAACTCAGTGGTTTAAAACAGCACAAACTTAGTATCTTACAGTTCTGGAGGTCAAAAGTTTTTTGTTTTGTTTTGCTTTTAAAGATTTTATTTATTTATTTGACAGAGAGAGACACAGCGAGAGAGGGAACACAAGCAGGGGGAGTGGGAGAGGGAGAAGCAGGCTTCCGTCGAGCAGGGAGCCCGATGTGGGGCTCGATCCCAGGACCCTGGGATCATGACCTGAGCCGAGTGCAGACGCTTAATGACTGAGCCACCCAGGTGCCCTGCGGAGGTCAAAAGTTTGAAATGAGTGTTACAGGGTTAAAATCAAGGTGTCAACAGAGCTGGTTCCTTCTGGAAGCTCCAGGGGGAGAATCTATTCCTTGCCTCTTGCAGCTTCTAGAGGTT